GAATTTGTTGAGGCTTGTTTTGTGTCCTATCATGTGGTCTAATCCCTTTCGTTTGTACTCAAGATACCAATGCACAATAATCAATCAGTTCTTATCTGCACTTGTTTCTCAGTCTTCTGCTGATATTTCAAACAAACGAAGAACTGGAGATGCACTTATGTCTTTCTTTTGGCCTAACTACTTCCCCACTCTCTTTCACATTTATCTGCATTTCTGTGATGACTTCACACCTCAAGGACTCCCTCTGTCTTTTCCCCAGCTTCCTTTACCCAATGTTTGTTAGGTGTTTCTCACTACACACTGAACTTTTACTGCTCATCGGTTAACTCTATGACATTCTCCAGTCCCTTTTGCCTACTCTCACGTCTTGGATATAGTTTGTGTGTCTTGTTCATCCTTCTCTCCCCCATAGAAAAAATGAACATAATTTAATATGTGTGGAGTAAACATGTTAACAAGTATTGGCCATAGCACTATTATTGATGTTTACCCACCACTTTTACTTTCATTGAGCATGTCTTCCAGCACCAACATTGGCTCCCCAAAAAATCCTGTTGCACTCACTTCATGGGTACCCATATTTCAGTCCTTGCTTACAGTTTAACTAATTTTACTCTAGATAAAGTACTCCAAGTACTTGTGCTTCAGAATACCAGCTCTGCAAAGGTCAACAGCTGCTTCTCAAGAAGGACCTACAACATCAGCAGCACCTGCCAGACACCTTCCTCAGGAGGATGTGTAGTCTTTATGGAGTTTACTCTTAAGATAGGTACCAAGAGTACTGTCTATGTCTCACCGTGGTCTCATTTCCCCCATTAAACAAGTCATCTAGTTAATTGTTCAGGGTGGAGGAGTCTTGCACAGGATCATGCCCTTCACATAGAATTACAAGGCATTTTTCAAGTTCTCTGAGGATCTCAGGGAGCAAGTCCTAGTGGGTTTGGATACATATGTACCTAGGCCTGTATGCCTTTCTGATTGGCAACCCACTTGACCTTCAACCAGGAAGAGAGGCATCAAGTCAGTTGCCTCCTTTTCCAGAGGGTCCAGGCAAAGCTTCCTCCAAAAGTTTCTTCATGAACCTTTGATATTTCATCCTGTTTTGTTTTGTTTTTGCTATTTTATAATTAAAAAACTTAACATGGGATTTACCCTCTTAACAAATTTTTAAGTGCACAATAGCATACAAAAGCATATAAAACAGTCAAACTTATAGAAGCATACAACAAAATGATGGTTTCTAGGGGAAGGGAGATATGGAGAGGTGTTGTTTAATGGGTATAAAGTTATACAAGATGAGAATGTTCTAAAGATCTGCTGTATAACAGAGGACATATTTTTAAGTGAAGAAAAGGCCAGGTAGGGAAGTTAATGTAGATTATCTAAGTTAATGTAGATTATCTAAGAAGGAAAAGGGAGTATAATGAATGTCTCTCTGATGAGAGATACATATCCAATGTCCAGGTAACACCAGTTGCCACATTCCTATTGCCTATAAGAAATGTGTTGAATACATACACTTCATGAGTTTTGCTTCTTCTGGTGTCCCCACTTTTCATCCTCACCCAATTTTGGCAGTCTCTGAGAACACATGTTCACCAATAAACACTTGGCAATTCATTCTTCTCAATATTTGTTCCAGATCACTTCATTTAAAAAATTAATAGTTAGTACTTTCCCCAGACATTAGAATATTTTTGCTCAGAAACCAGTGGCAGCAGCCCTTTACAGCTCTACAATGTCAGTGGCCTACTTTACAATAGGTGTCTTCCTGGGCAAGAGTTGAAAGGAGTGGAGTGCTGGAGAGGACTCTTACTTGAGCATAAGAACTAACTGTTAAAATTTCAGGAATTTTGCAAGCCAGCTATTAACCACAGCTGTTATTAAAAACTAATTTATATAAAGTAACAATTACACTACATACATGATATTGAAAACAGGCACAACACATACTTAAACCTCATCAATCCCTAATTATTTCCCTTCACTAAACTATTATCTATGCTCTTGAGATTATGTATATTTATTGTAGCTGAATGATAGAAATACATCTCTTCCCAATTCTGCATTAATTGACATAACATTGGTAGTTTGAAATTGGCAAATGGTATAACACAGTGCATTTCTCCCACCCCTCTCCCGCCCCCAAGGAGCCTGTTGTTAAACATTTACCTGTGAACCAGTGGTTGAAATCGATCCACTCTACAAATGCTCTGATAGGCTAGATATCCTCAGACCCAACCAATGCTATTGTATAACACATGAGAGTCAAGTCATAACTCACTGTTCTATAAAGTGATGTTTTAAAACTGTGAACTAGAGCAGTATATGACAAAGGATACTTCACAACAGAAGGTCTGATATTCAACATTTATAACAAGGTTCTAAAATGCCCATAATATGTCATTAAGAGACTTTTCTAAAAGGTACACGAGGTCTGGCAGGAAAAAGCCCAACCATCGTTACTATAACAACAATGGTTTGTGCAACATTGATGTAACCTGGCAGCCAAGAAGAGTGGACAGAAAAGGACATGCATGAACAATGATGACTTTACTGTACTAGTCAGTGGGGGCAGTAAACACAATTGATTAAACATGTGTACTGTGTGGACATTGCATTAAAAATGATTGAGCGAGTAAAGCAACAAATCTCCATCACATTTTGCATTAAGCTTGAACATTTTCCCCTGGAAACTTCGGATGATTCAGAAGGTGGCAACTACGGGCAATTGGTGATTGGCAGCTTCATCACACAATGAACTCTTTCATCCATCACATCTTGTGCAGGGTTTTTTAGCAAAACATCAAATCATCCAGGTGACTCAGCACTGCTACAGCCCAGGTTTGGCACCCTGCAACTTCGGCTTTTCCCAAAACTAAAATCACCTTTGAAAAGGAAGAGGTTTCAGACCGTTGATGAGGTTCAGGAAATATGATAGGGTAGCTGATGGCGAATAGGAGGACTGTGTGAGGTCGTAAGCTGCATACTTGGAAGGGGACTGAAGTGTCATTGTCCCATGCACAATGTTTCTTGTGCCTTGTATCTTCTTCAATAAATGTCTCTATTTTTCATATTACAGGGCTGGATACCTTCTGGGCTGACCTCATATAGTACAATGTGTGAGAGTGGGGCAGCAATATCAGGTCTAAAGAGACCTGCATGAAAGGGCAGGTGGGGCACAGAAAAAATGAAAGGGCAAAGGGAAGAGAGGCTCACTTTTTCTCCCAAGCTCCATCACTTCTCTCTTCCTCCCTCTTCTCATGCTGCACGCTTTAACTCAAAATATACTTTCTCTTTTACCAACTCAACTGTGGGACTGTGCCATACTTGGAACACATTTGCATAGCAGGGTTTTAGTCATTTTGCAGGCAACACTGCTTCCTTCCTGTGTGAATATGTGAACTTGTTCATCAGATACTGGGGTGGGGGGAATCACAGATTTAAGTAACAAACCAGGGAAAGTAAGAAGGCATGAGATGAACAAGAGTCTTGCTCTTTGGGCTGAGTGACTATGCATGTTTGTGTATCTGGCATTAGAATATAAGAAACTGACCTTCTGAAGGCCTCAAGCAAGAAAGCATAAGTTGTAATCAATACCATCAAAAACAATCATCTTGGGTAAAAATAAAAAAGAGTAAGGGAAGGTAGAAAGGAGGAAACATGACGGAAAGAGCGAGTGATCAAGCATGTCCAATTGAGCTTTGTTTTCCTAGCAACATCTCCGGTTTTTCATTTATTTGAAACATCAGCAGAAGACTGAGAAACAAGTGCATATAATAATTGATTGATTATTGTGCATTGGTACCTTAAGTACAAACTAAAGGGATTATTTCTGAAACATCTTTTCACTGAATGGCAGCCATCTCAAGTTTTGGAGCTTTCACTCAACGCACTGTATGTACTTAGCAGCATATGAAGGCACAGGATAAATAAATGATAACGATCCTTCCTATTTCATGGGTCCATCAAAGGTATGCTCTGGGTCTAATTCTTCTCCCCTCCTTTGATCCTTCTTGTCCTGACTGGCTTCAGTTTCCGCATTCCATTGGCCAAAGTTGGCCTGCATGGACGTTTTGTGTGGCCCATGTGTAGGGCTTTAAGAGGAAATCATAGCCAACATTTTAAAATTGAGATTTTACATAGAAATCTAGAATTCTATCTTCTCTTTAAAAATCAGGAGCTGTGGCAACAATGAGCCCACATTCCTGCCTGGCAACAATTGTCTAGAGCCAAGAGACAGCTGCACCCTTAGGTAAAGCATGTGCACTGTCAGTTGGCCAGAGCCCATCTGGGCTGCTCTCATTTATATGATCTGCTTGATCCTACAGACATTTCAACCTGTGGCTCTCTGGACAACTGGAGACAGTCTATGCCAGGCAGCGGGTAGGCACTTACTTGCTGAGTGAATAAATCTCCTATCCCTTTTTCTCTATCATTTTCTTATCCAGCCATATTAAGAAATCCCAGTTATTGAGTATGGCGATTTTCACTTTGGAAGTTGAATTGAACAAATCTGCTAGAGTCAGGATAGTCTAGGTTATGCTGTGGTAAGAAGCAACTCCTATATCGCAGTGCCTTACAACAACGAGTTTATAACTTGTTCACACACACACACACACACACGCACGCATACCCAGAACCAAAAATGAAAAAAATCATCATACTTTCCCATGCATGGGTACCTACATGAGTGCACTGGTATGTTTGCGATCACGAGTGAAATAAAAACTCTGGCATATGAGCATATGAACACACAGAACTCAGTTTCAAGACTGATCAGCTTAGATTGCACAAGCTTGTTTTCATAAGACATAAAAAGGCCCCAGGATCCAAGGGAGTAAGCGATGGAGGTACAAGAATAACTGCCCTCAGTCAAGGAATTGCCCCACATAATAAAAAGAGTCTGGAAGCTTAGAGAAGGACCCGAAGGCTTTCATGTTTTTAATTTTAAGCATTTTGAACATTAAACATTTTGCAAATGCATAAATAGGCACTACTCTAGAGAAGCCTCCTCCTTTGGGCTTCTGGCTCAAGAGGGAGATGCATCCCAGGTGTCCAATAGGCAGAGAAACAGAGCTGGCCGGCCTGGGATGGAGAGAGGGGCTGGAAGTCTGGACCTCTCTACCCCCAGCAGGAGCTGTGGACAGAAAGGAAGGGGTCAGTGCCAGCTTGCATCCATTTCCCTTCCCGGCTCTCCCTTCTTTTTTGTTCCACCCAGTCGAGGCTTTGCCACCGCGATTATTGCACAGAACTCTTTCTCGCTTGATTTGCCCATCTCAAGTCTTGCTGCCGGTAGTCCCTCCATCGCAGCCACCACATTCCTTTTCGCCAGGCCCCTGGTCTTTGAATATGCTCCTCCTGAGCTCACACATTCCCCCCCACCAGCTCCTCACCACCCACAGTTGCTGGCCTAGCCTCCTGAGCCTGGCATGTCAGACCTCTGTGATTGGTAGCCTCTCCAGCCTCACCCCCTTCTCTTCCAGAAGTTCCTCCAGCGTTGCTGCCTCACTCACACACTATACCCCACCCACAATTTTGGTCTGGGAGGGCCCAGCCTTCCCTCTCAGCCTCCCCAAGGGTCTCTCTGTCCTCACACCTCCTCCAGTCCTCCCTCTCCAGGCTCATCATTGAGATTTAGCTGCAAAACACGGCTCGTAAAGGCATCCGAGCGCCACATCTACACTGGAAGCTTCCCGAGGGCAGGGACCAGAATCCCCTTCCAGACTCAGCACGTGTTCCCCTATATGTGTCCTCCCCAGGCCACAGCAGATGACAAGGGTCTGCGGAGGAAAGCTCTGGGCTGAGAGTCAGGAGGCCTGGTTCTTCCCCTTGATATGCTACACGCCCTAGGGCAAGTGCCGGCCACTCTCAGGGCCCCAGTTTCCTGTCTCGAGACAGCAGGGCTCTGGACGTTTGCTGTTGAGTGCAAAGCTGGACGAACTGGTGATTCACTGGACAGCCATCGACCGCCATCTCAGGCGTCAGGCTGAGGAGCTTGGGTGCCTGGGCCCAGGGAGGTTCAACCCACCAACCCTGCCTTTCCAGTTAGGCCCCGCTTACCACAGCGCCCTCGCGTTTCCCAACTATTCCCACCCCGTGTTGCCTTTCAAGGACCAAGCTACCTGGTGCAACTCAAGGCTGGAGCGGGGAGATGGAGCCTGAAGGGGCCTGGGAAGATCCCTTCAGAATCAGCAGTGCCTCGGCCGCCTCCAGCCTCTGCTGCCACTCTGCGGAGGCAGAGGCCAAGGGCTGGTCAGGAGCTGTGGGAACCTGCAAAGAAAAGGGTGCGAGAGAATGGGAGCTGGGAACCCCCCACCTCCCCGCCTCCTGTGACAAGTGCTCCTCGGTCCCCCGGTTCCCCTGAAGGCTCCACCCAGCCCGAGGCCTTCTGCTCTCCCCATTCACTAAGCTTGGCCCCCGGTCAGCGCTCTGGACCCAACTATTTTCCCAGGATCTGTGGCTGCAGTAGAGGAGGGTCAAGGGTGGCGTAGGGATGGAGGACCAGAGTTGAGCGTCTAGAAACAAGGAAAGGAGAAGCCGGGGGATGAAACCCTCTGTAAGACACACACTACCAGTAGGCAGAGACGGGCAGGATTTTGCAATATCCGAATGTGGGAGTCCGAAGGCCTGCTGACTGCCTTTACTCGTTGTGGCTTGGGCAAGCCCTTTCCCCTGCCTGGCCTGTTTCCGTTTCCATCTCTTTTCTCTAGATCTTTCCTGAGACACTAATTCCTGCCAGCATTTCCAGAATTCCCAGGGCCACGGGGAAGATTATGGGAAATCACAGGTGTCTGTGTTTTAATCTGCAAAGCACCTGGAGAGATGTGGTTACTGGGGTTACTGTCCCCGTTCAGAGACTGGTTCTGGCCTCCATAGCCCCCAAACCCCATGGGACCGGAAGGAGCAGCTTGGCGCACCTCCAGAAAGCTTTCTCTAATGGCCTCTGGACTCTCGCCTGAGCCTCTGTGGTGCCCACCATCACGGTCCTCCTTGTCAGCAGGACCTTCTATCCCATCAATCTGTTGCATATGGAATAAGAGCCTCCATTTGTTAAAGGCCTGCTATGTGGCAGCTGTTACGCTAGTCCTCTTGTCAATGCTATGGGTGCAGAATGTTGTCCCCTCTCAGTACACTGACAAACAAATGGAGACCCGGGAACGTAAACACCGTTGTCCAAAGTCTCCCGCCAAGTAGGAGGTGGCAAAGCTGGGAGAGCCCTGTCCTTGCCTGTTAGTCTGAGACGCCGCCTACTCCCCTTCCTCCTCCTCCTCCTCCTCCTCCTCCTCCTCCTGCACCGCTGCCTCCACTTCCTCCTTCCGCCCGCCATGGCGTCAAGCACAAGGATGGGCACCCAATAACACAATACACAACCAGCTGCATGCTTCTTCTCAGTCTACTCACGTGCTGATCAGGACATGGGGCCAGTGGGAATTCCTGGAAGGAGAAATTGTTGGTTGCTTCTTCAAGGGAGCTGAAGTCCAGGACAGAGACAAACAGTCTGGGGACAGATCCATCAGCAGAGCCCCTTGGGAGATTGCCTGCAGGAGCAGAGAGCACAGGTTGGACTCAGGTAGGAGGCAGGCCGTGGAGAGGACATGTGGGCATGTTTGGGGCTGAGGATAGGAGTCCAGAGTGTCAGAGCTGGGAAGGCCTTGGAGACCAGCTGTTCATTTTGCAACGGGGAAACTGAGGCCCAGAGAGGAGAAGTATTTTCCCCCCAAGGTCACATGGCAAGTTGCAGTAGGGCTAGAGGTGGAACACAGAACTTCGAGACACAGAAGAAGGCGTCTGGGCAGTGGCTGGGTTGGGAGCCTCCCCCACTGGCCCCAGACTCCCCTTACCTCCCTGGCGGTTGCACAGGCGTGGGCCTTAAGCTGGGGCATGGCATTCTCTTTCCCAGCTGTGGGAGACTGGAAACAGCTTAGGAGATCCTTTCCCCCTCAGCTCGCCCCCACGCTACCTCGCCCCCAATCTGAGGCCTCATCGCACCGTGGACCATTTCAACACCTCTCCCCAGACTTCTCCTTCCCACCAACACTTGACAGACAATGCTGATGACCTTTTGCAGCTGGGGAAGCTAAGGCCCAAGGAATGACTTGCCCAAGGCTGCGTTGAAGTTGGGTGGTAAGGCTGGTGACAGAACTACTCGTGCTCCCTATACCCAAACCCAGGTGCCCTCCTTGGACAGAGACACTACTCACTGAGAACTCCTTCTTCAGTGGCCAACTTGTTGACAAAACTGTGCTCTTCGGGAGGTGCGGCTCCAGTCTTTATCAGTCCTCGAGTCAGGCGCCTCTTTAGGCGTGCCCCCGGCTTCCTCTTCAAGGAACCCTTGGCGGGCAAGACCCGGCGGTGCTTCCTAAAGTGGGAGATTGCAGGTCCAAAGTCAGTCACGTTTAGAGGAGGCCCGCCCTCCCTTCCCCTCGTCAGACACCGTACTCACGAGACGAGCTCACGGGTCTGGAAGCGGCAGCGCTGCTCGCGGTCCTCGGTTTGGTCAGCGATGCCGTGCTTCTGGCGGCAGGCAGAGCGATGACGTGCCGATCTTCTGAGGCCACGTCGATTCCCCCGTGGGACTCTGGTCTCACGACCAGTGGTGCAGCAGGGCACGGCGGGCATTTCGCTGGGATCCTTGGTTCTAGGCCCGGGAGCAGAGGTCACGATGGCCACATGATCCCCTACCCCCCACACACGGCCTCTGACCTTGGCAAAGCCCATCTGAAGGGGCTGGATTCTTTTCCATCCAGCTCACCGCTGCAATCACGTTGCACCCTCCCTTCCTGCTCTTGTAAGCCTCCTTCCCAAGAAGGCTCACTCACGCATAGCCTTGTTCCAAGAAACTCTTGACTTGGCTCCTGTATACTTTCAATCCAATTATTACTCTCCTTGCTTACTTTCACTCTACATAGGTCCCGCTTTCGGGTACACACATGCACTCTCGTGCCCCTTGCAACAAGTACTACTTGCCCTTCTCGTGTACTGTCCTGTGCTCTGCTATACCCAGCTAGTATCATTCCTGGCATCCACTTCCATAATTGTCTTCCGAATCTTCTGCATTCATTCACTTCCCACTCAGGAATCTATGCCCCAGGCACTCAATTCTATTTCTAGTCTCATGTATGCCCTACATTCAATTTTTTTTTCACCACACTCCATTCTGATATTTTTCTCGAAGCCCGCCTTAATCTTAATTATTTCCTTGCTGCCCCTTTAACCTGGCAGACCTTTGCACCCCATGAAAGCATATTATTTTTCAGGATCCCAAGCCCCTCTTTCAATAATTATTTCTGTTCTTCGCCTCGATCATTCATCGAACAGATGTTTGCTGAGCCCCGCATCGAATGCCAGACCCTGATCTAGTCAGCAGCCAGCTCCTCGCTGCACTAACTGTTCTCTTGCACCAACACACCCCCTCGCCGCCTTCATGCAAACCCATGCGTTCCCTCCACAGCCTCCCAACAATCTCCCATGCTCCGCTCCACGCTTCGGAAACTATGCGGAAGCGAAACTATTCGGAAACTATGGGGCACCTTTGCCCCACCCCCACCCCACCCCCACCCCACCCCCACCCCCACGCCCACCCCCACACACCCGGAGTGCATCACCTCCTCTCAGGCAGCCCAATATTTCGCTGCCGCCTTCACCTCAGAATCAAAGGCAGCCTTGCCCCAGGGGCCAAAGGCCAGGGCTCAAGAGGCTGGGGCAATGGGTCTTCCCACAGGGGTCCTACAGAGTGCGTGCGTGGGCAAGGGGGAGCTGAGTGGACATCAGGAGCCGGGGGAGGTACCCTGCGGAGGCGGAAGAGACTAGACGGGTTTGGGGGCCCAGAGCAGGAGGGAGGGAGGAAAGAAGAGGCGTGGAGAACGAGGGTCCCTCTTCCCGATACTAGCCTGTGGTTACCTCAGCCTCCAGCAGCTCGTACAACGCACTGGCACGAGAGGCCTGACGGAAGGCGCTGCCACGCCCGCTCCCTTTCCCGCCCATCCCACAAAGGCCAATGAGCTTCCAGCGCTGCCTTCCCACAGTCCGCTGTGGCTGGCGACCTATGAGCTTCGAGTTCCTGAGGCTCACCCACCAGAGTCCCGCCCCCTCGCCTCCCTCAGCCTTGCTCTACTACGCCGGCCAATAACTCGTGAAGCAAAATGGAGCTTTGTGCTCCTCCAAGCCTTGTTTCCCACACTGCTCTCCCTTTGGATGGGAAATATTGCATGGGCGTGCATTTTTCACTCGTGCACTTGGTATTCTGTCGTTTGCTGTTACAAGACTCAGAATGTGTTCTTTAAGATCGATCCGTATTCCTATGCCAGGGATTCTTAATCAGGGTCGATTTTGCACCCCCGGGGGACATTCGGCAGCGTCTGGAGTCATTTTGGTCCGATTCTGTGTGTCTCTGTTTCGGAGCATACGCTCTGTTGCATACATTTCCCTATTCCCGTGCCACGGCCGCACTGGCTTAATTTTTATCTCTCGGTAAGACATCGAGGCCTCCGGTAGGGCAAGCCCCCACATCTTAGGCGTCGTCTCCAGGCATCCCTTCATTATTCTTTGCATTTTGCCCTTCCGTATAAATGTTAGGATAAGCATGCCACGTTCCCTGGAAACTCATCTGTGACAGATTTGGACTCTTTTGGTCAATGAATTTACAGATCAGTTAAGGGGGAATTGACTGTCTTCGTGATATCCAGCCTTCCTAGTCACCAGCGTGGGCTGGCTCTCCATTTGTGTGGGTATTCCTTACCGTTTTAATCTTTCAGTCTAGTATTTAGTGTTATCTTTTGTACACTCAGACCTTGTGCATCTTTTACTGTATTTATCCTAAGATACTCTGCAGTGCCTTTGCTCTTGTACATGGTATCTGTTTTAAACGACATCTTTCTATTTGTATCTAACTTACAGAAATCCTTGTGACTCCTTAAAAAGTGAATTGATCTTGCAGTCAGCCGCCATGCTCAACTCAGTGATATCTAGTGATTTCTCTGTAGGTGTTCCATGGTTTTCTGCGAACCTGTAACAGAAGTACAGCAATCAACCAGCACGTTTCTTACCGTGGTGGCTAGGACATCCACCACAAGTTGGAACACAGACGGCTACAGTGGGCATCTGTGGGCTGTTCCTAATAAAATAGACAGCCGCCAACATTTCCACGTTAACATGAGTTTGCTGTGATTCATTGTCTCCTTTCCTTCCTGCCTGCCTGCCTTCCTGCCTTCCTGCCTCCCTCCCTCCCTCCCTCCCCTCCTCCTTCCTTCCTCCCTCTCTTTCCTGTCTCTCTTTCCCTTTATCAGATTAAGAAACTTCCCTTATATTCCTCGTCTAATACGAGTAAGTTTGTCTTAAAAATCATGGGTAGTAAATTTCACATTTTTGCCTTGAGTCAAATGATCAAGACTCCATTCACTTAACCTGTTAAATACAGTGAGTGTTATTTATAGATTTTTCCCTTGAAATATGTACTGAGGTTCATCTTATAATCAGAAAGAACACAAATCGTAAGTGAGTATCTTAACGATTTTCAGAAATTATACATACACATTCAATTAGCACCTGCAGCAATCAGCAGACTACATTGGGGGCACACAAACCTCTCCCATGCCCCCTTCGATCTATCATTTTTCTAATGTTAAGCCTGTTTTGCTCTCCCTGGATAAACGTAACTTAGTGACCGTACATCTTTTGTATGTTCTGGCGGGTTCAGCTTGCTCAATGTTGCTTAAGGTTTTTCAACTTTTGTTCATGAGCGGGATTGGTTTGATGTCTCTCTTTCTAATACTATGTTTGCAGGTTCAGGGGCAAGGCATCCTAGTCTCATAGACTGAGCTGGGGAATAGTCTCTCTTTTCTGTCCCCTGGACATCTTTGTGTAAGATTAAGATTACCTGCCTTGAGATATCCCACGCAGCAATTTTTTCACTGATATGTCTCCTAAAGCAAGGGACATAAAGGAAAGAATAAACAAGTGGGACCTCATCAAAATAAGAAGCTTCTGCACGGCTAAAGAAAACATCAGCAAAATGAAAAGGGAGCCAACCATTTGGGAAAATATATTTGCTAATGATACCTCAGATAGAGGTTTGATCTCCAAGATATACAAAGAACTCACTCGACTTTACTCCAAGAAGACAAACGATCCAATCAAAAAATGGGCAAAGGACCTGGGCAGATGCTTTTCTAAGGAGGAGATACAGAGGGCCCAGAGGCATTTGAAAGGATGCTCAGCATCACTAGCCATCAGAGAAATGCAGATCAAAACCGCCATGAGGTATCACCTCACACCGGTCAGAATGGCCATCATAAACAGATCCACAAACAACAGGTGCTGGCGAGGCTGTGGAGAAAAGGGAACCCTAGTCCACTGTTGGTGGGAATGCAGACTGGTGCAGCCACTATGGAAAGCAGTGTGGAATTTCCTCAGAAAGCTGAAAATGGAACTGCCTTTTGATCCAGCGATTCCCCTGCTGGGACTATACCCTGAGAACACCAAAACGCCAATACAAAAGAACCTATGCACCCCAATGTTCATAGCAGCACAATTTACAATAGCCAAGTGTTGGAAGCAACCTAAATGCCCATCAGTAGATGACTGGATCAGAAAACTATGGTACATTTACACAATGGAATACTACGCAGCAGAAAGAAAAAAGAAGTACTAAACTTTGCGACAGCATGGATGGAACTGGAGAGCATCATGCTAAGCGAAATAAGCCAGGGGGCGAAAGACAAATACCATATGATCTCACCTATAAGCGGAACCTAACCAACAATGCAAAGAAGCAAGGAAAATATGACCAGCAACACTGAAAGGAAAAGAAATCAACAGAGACCAGAAGGAAGGGGGGGGCAGGGAAAGGGAAGGGAAGGGGAAAGTCAAGGAACATATAGCAAGGACTCATGGACAAAACCAAAGGGGAAGAGCTGAGGGAGGGAAGGTGGGAGGGGGCAAGGGAAAGAGGTGGGGGGAAGGCAGAGACAAATGTATTTAAAAAGTAAATAAATTAATTTTTAAAAAAAAGAAAAAAAAAGAAGATTACCTGCCTTGAGATTTTGATCACTAAACAGCTGGAATGCCAGTTTCCTTTCCTTTCCTTTTTTCTTTCTTTCTTTCCCTCTCTCCCTCCTTCCCTCCCTCCTTCCCTCCCTCCCTCCCTCCCTCCCTTCCTTCTTCTTTCTCTCTCTCTTTCTTTCTTTCTTTCTTTCTTTCTTTCTTTCTTTCTTTCTTTCTTTCTTTCTTTCTTTCTCTTTCCTTCCCTCCTTCCCTCCCTCCCCCCTCCTTCCCTTCCTTGCTTTTTAAATTTTACTCTGGATATTATCAAACAGATACAAGTAGATCTTGTATACACAGTCACAAGCAATATCCAGGTTCACTTCAGTAGAGCAGTGTTCCCGGAACATTAGCTTGCATCAGAATCACCTTAAAGGCTTGTTAAAAGATTGGTTGCTCACCTATCATCTTTAAGTCTCAGATTTTAAAATCTGGGGCGGGACACAGAGTTTGCTTTTCTGACAGTTTCCCTGTTGATGCAAGTACTCCTGGCAGGAGACCTCACTTTGAGAACCCCTGTGCAAGAGAGAATAGTGAAGAAGGTTCCAATTTTCACTCGCCCAAATGGAACCATTAAAAAG